CAACAACAACTTCTCCTCTAAATGCTTAAATGCTTTTAATCTAGCATTCTTAATTGACAAGTCATTGTTTCTCTATAATTTTGGTGCCCTGTTTCTCTATATTTTCCTTTAAAAAAATAAGTTTTATTGTGAAAATACTGTACAGAGGGGTTACAGTTACATGGGCAAGATAATGAGTACATTTCTTATCAAACATCGTAGCCTCCTCCTCTGTTTTTACCCTACCATCCCTTCCCTCCCACCTCCACAGCTACATCCCCCCCTCCCCACCCCGTTTGTCTATTTTAAAAATCATATCCTTGGGCCTGCTTTTAGAGTCTCTGTCTTTCATTATTATGTCTATTCTTATATCAATGCTATATATTTTTTTGTCAGTCGTGGGGCCTGAACTCTGGGCCTGGGTACTGTCCCTCAGCTCTTCAGCTCAAGGTTAGCACCCTATCACTTGAACCACAGGTCCATGTTTGGCTTTTTCTGGTTATGTGGTGCTGAGGAATCGAACCCAGGGCCTCAGGCATATAAGGCAAGCACTCTACCACTGAGCCACCTTCCCAGCCCCCTCAATGCTATTTTAATCATACTAGTTTTCTAAAACCCATGTACACAGGATGGGTTATGTCCTTCCTAATCACATGTTCTTTTCAACACTTTCTCTGCTATTCCGGAATTTATTCTTTGCTAAGAACTTCAGAATCATTTCTAGAAGCCTTCACAGCCTCAATCATTCCTTTTGCTCCGTGAACATTTTCTAGAGAGTGTAGGAAGTTTCTAGATTCCTTGGAGAATCTCTACCCCTCTGCTCTGCTCTGTCTACTCTCTACTCTGTCTCTCCCCACCCCATCTCTTAGTGTCTCAGTCTCTCTTTTTCTCTCCATCTCCCTCTTTCTTTTGTTCTCTCAGTCTGTCTCTCAATCCCTCTTTGTCTCTCTCCCTCCCTCACCCTCAGCTGAGAGCTAGACATGTCAAGCTTGCTTAGAACCCAACTTTCAATCCTGTCTTTCCTGCTCTGACCCATGCTTCTGGTCACAGAATGTATTTCTTGCCCTGAACTTGCTATCCGACCTGTTGACCTTGGCTTGGCTCCAGCCACTCAAAACTGAAATGAAGTATTAGGGGAACTGAAAGGCAAATATTCAGAAGTACAGGCAGTGAGGTCACTGAGCTCTTTAGCTCAGATCAAAGGGCCTGGTGACAGCCCGAAAACACTTCATTCAGTCCTACAAACAAGACTCACAAGGAAGAAGAAATGGTCTCATTCACTTGACTCTCTCCTTTACTCCATTCATTTTCCTTACTGAATAAATATAGCTAGGGGTCATTGCACTCAACTAAGGCCCTTACAAGTTCCTACGTGTGGCCTAAGGATGGCTCCCAGGCAGTCTGATGGAGCCTAGTGACTGAAATAATGGAGGTCAAATGTTCATATTTGAAATGTATCCAACAGGGACCCCCAAATCTCACATCAAGTCCAGGTGGACCCAGATAGTCCTCAAGGGCAGATCTTTTCCAGGCAATCACTCAGGGTTCCAGGATGGTTGATTGTACAGCCTCATATTCATCAATCCCTCTGCAAACCCCAAGGCCCCCAAAGAGAAAGCATGACAGAAATGCAACCCCTGGTTCTTATCTGACCACCTTAAAATGACATGGGCTAGTCTCATGCTTGCTTTCATGTTTGAATAAAAGCACTAAATACTGTAAGATTCTTGAGATTATATGTACAGAAGCAACCTACTAGCCCCAGGCAACTAGAATGGACAGATGAGAGAAGAGTGTCCTGATCTCTGAGTATCTTGATGAGATCACAGAAGGTGATGCTAGTTAAATGCTCTTAGAATCCATCCATTCTTTCTAAATCTACCTGTTTTAGTACCTCTAGTGTCTATCTTTGGATCCAGTGCCTAGATAAAATATTAAACATCTAAATTTATATTTTCCCCTAATATACCCTAGTTCCTTTGCCCTAGTACATAAAAATGTAGATAACCCAAGAAAGTCAAGCATGCCATTAAGCTTGAGCCATGACAGACTTTCCAGGAGGTAAGAGTGGTTGAGAATTCCCTTAACGATTGGGGCTGGGAAGGTGGCTCAGTGGTAGAGCGCTTGCCTTGCATGCCTGAGGCCCTGGGTTCGATTCCTCAGCACCACATAAGCAAAAAGAAAAAGGCCGGAAGTGGCACTGTGGTAGAGCACTAGCCTTGAGCTGAAGTGCTAAGGGACAGTGCCCAGGCCCAGAGTTCAGGCCCCACGACCGGACCCCCCCCCCCCAAAAAAAGAGAATTCCCTTAACGAATCTGATCATCAATGCTCTTGATTAGGAAATTCAGAACAAAAACAAAATCGTAGAAAAGCAGTGCTGGTGGCTTATGCCTGTAATCCTAGCTACTCAGGAGGCTGAGAAGGCTGAGATCTGAGGATTGTGGTTCAAACCCAACCCAGGCCGGAAAGTCCGTGAGACTCTTATCTCCATTTAACCACCAAAAACCGGAAGTGGCACTGTGGCCCAATAGTGTCCAGGTGCTGAGTTCAAACCCCACAACTGATGAAAAAAAGAGAGAGAGAGAGGAAGGAAGGAAGGAAGGAAGGAAGGAAAGCAAATGTCAGAGGGCTCCTCTGTAGCAGTTTGAAATGTGGCTGGTTTGATGATGGAAGGGTTGAGAACAGAATATACTATCATCCTTGAGGTTATCAAACTGAAGAGAAGCTTTTCACCACAGCTGCTCTGGCTCCCATGATGTCTCCTGACATCGTAAGGATCATCATATTTCCGGAAACCAAGCTTGAGAACTGTCATCGTGGCCTCACTTGACATCTAGGTTACTAAAAAGAGGGACCCTGTTAATATATCTGAAGCAGTAGACACTGTTTAAGAACCAAGTTAAACACCCATGTTGGTGTAGGGAGTGGTCTATGTTAAAAAATGTGTTAGGCCCAGGCACTGGGCTTGTAATCCTAGCTACTCAGGAGGCTGAGATCTGATGATCATGGTTCAAAGCCAGCCTGGTCAGGAAAGTCTCTGAGACTCTTATTTCCAATTAACTAGCAAAAAAAGCTGGAAGTAGAGGTGTGGCTCAGGTGGTGGAGTACCTTCTTTAAGTAAAAAAGCTAAGGAAGAGTACCCTGAGTTTGAGTTCAAGCCCCAGTACTAGCCACCCCACACACACAAAAAAAAATTCAAGTGTGCCCATGGCTCATGCCTGTAACCCTAGTTATTCAGGAGGCTGAGATCTGAGGATCACAATTCCAAGCCAGCCCTGGCAGGACAATTCCTTATCTCCAGTTAAACACCAAAAAGCAGGAAGTGGAACTCAAGTGACAGAGTGCTAGCCTTGAGCAAAAAAGCTCAGGAACAGTGCTCAGGCCCTGAGTTCAAACCCCAGTTACCAAACAAAACAAAACAAAATAAATAAAAACGTCTTAGGACTTGAACTTCTGAAATATTTGTTTCAGTCCTCTTTTTAGTGAACCTCTAACTACAGAGCCCAGTTGACTGTCCTATTGTTCTCTGTTGGGAGTAAACCATCGCATGGTGGATTGGAAAGCCTTTGGTCCTAAGGAATATTGATTTTCACTCTTTTGAGTTCTGCAGCTCTTTCTTCCCTCCTGTCAAGAAATAAGTTTACCATAAGTATTACGGTGGCTGATGATCCTTTTGAGAGGACCCCCATATCCTTGGCTGGGTCTCAGTGGCCATACTGTACAATGTGATCGCCCCAAAAGTTAGTAGACTGGACCAGAATGGGTCTCTGTGAATAGCATACTCATTTCCACAGGAGTTTCACGTTGAGAGCTGGTGAGAATTGCTTACCCCTAGATGGCAGTTTTTGACACACGTCTCCTTCCTTATCTTTGTGCAGTCAAGAGACAGGAAGCTGAGAGAGGCCAGTGTGCAAAGGAGGGAAAGAGGCACAGGAGAAACTGAGGCAGGGATGGCCTGACTTTTGTCTGTGCTCCTCCCCCCTTCCAACCCATTCACCATCTACTCAGAGAAACACCTTTCTGAGTTCCCTCCATGAGGATGCCAGCTGTGGCCTCGGTACTGATGAGATGGTACACTAATGTGTAACTGACTTGTCTTTCAGAAGGTGCTGGGAACTGAGGCTTTTTTTTTCTCAATAGCAGGAGAGAGATCTTAGCAGAGAGCTTAGGATTCATGAATCTGAATGTATGGTTTGGTGTGGGACATGCTGAACTATGGTGTCAGGACTTCTGGAAAGAGGTATGAGGTTTGGTTCCCATAAACAAAGGAAATAGTTTGATTTCTTGTCTAAGCAAGAGCTTTTTGTACCTCGTTGATGGGCCTCTTTGATGGCTATCCAGGTGCCCTTCCCATCTTTTCAACATAGGTGTTATTTAAACCATTCTTGCAACATTGTGTCAATAAAATCAGTCAAATATATGGCAGTTCTTAACCTATGCATTTACAAGCTAAAATTGTATATATATATACCTTGGGATCAGAAAGATCTTGTTTGTTACCCAGCTGCAACCTTACAACCCACTGCATCCATATACAAGTCCTCTCTCCCTCTCTATGCCACATTAGGCAGTTAGGTCCTCTTCCCAGGAGCTAAGACACCACGACATTAACAAAGCTGAAGAGGATAGCTGAACACTGCACAAAACAGGGGAACTGGGTGCAGGACATGCAAAATCCATCAAAGGAGGTCGACCTTCTCTGTCAGATGACTCTGCTGGGCTGGACAGTTACTAGGACTTAGGTCTTGAAACTAGAGGCAGACAGAAGCCTTCAGCCATAGCTAAAGGAAGAGCCCTGATCAGGAACAAACCTATCAGATCTGTCACCTGTAGATGGAAAGTAGTGGAGCCACGGCCCTCGTTTGTCTTAGCAGAGAGTTTAGAGTGTGTGCAATCTGACAATGTGGCTTGTATTTAGGGACAAAAATAAAAAAGAAATTGGCTTTATTTCTGTAAGGATAGAAAGTATTTATTGTTGGGGCCTGGACACTCCAATACTGAATGGTCAGAAAGAACAAAGGAATAATCCAACAAGGAGCACTCAGAAAGATAAAAGAAGCACACCAGCAATCATGGTGTCCCCAAGCCTAGAGGAGGAGGAGCTTGAAGGAGGAGGATGTGATCAATTGGACCAAATCAGAAAGTAGACTGGGCCCTTCTCCAAGATGTCCTACTGTGGGAAGTCAGTATCACATTTCACTCTAGGAAGCATCCTTAAGGAGTGCTGCTTTGGGGCTGTTCCATAGAGAATACTGGGCTGGCAGACGTGATCACCTTTTTATTAGGATGTTGGCAGCACCCAGATCTGGGCTGTAACCTCACTGACCAAGTTACCAAGCTCTGCCCTCTACCCCAAGCCCCGTGGGGCTCAGAACTCGCACACCACAAGGCGCTCTTCTCCACAAGTCTTGTCATTCCATTGGCCGTTGGTGAAGATCTCCACACAGTTCTCGGACCCACCATTGTTGTTGGGTTCCCCGGGGGCCCAGTTGGTATAGACCAAAGGCTCCCCTGTGGGGTAGGTGAACTTGCCCTCTGTGTCATTGTCAGTCATGCTCAGGAAAGCAGCCTTGTTCTGAGCTATGACCAGCTGCTGCAGGGCCTTATTCTCAGCTGCAGAGCGTGGAGAGGCCAGCTGTCCACCAGCCTGTGTGCACACCTCCTGTGCACCCTGGAACAATTTCACAAAGCCTGCTGTCTTGAAGATCTTGTCTCCCATACTTTGGCCATCAGGGAAGAGCATGGCTGGAAGAAGACAGAGTCAGGATAAGGTTGTGGCCAGCCCGCTAAACCAGAACTTAGGGGGGGGGAGGGTGGCTGAGCTCTCAGCTCTGCTATCTGAATCTCTCAGACCTTCCCATGCAGTGGATCGGGCCAAGATAAGGGACACCCTGGGTTCCTGGGCAGCCCGAACACAAAATGTACCTTGGGGATGGGGGTGTCATGGCCCCTAATCACAGATGGGAGCACTAGAGTTGAGAAAGGTTAAGTACAAGGCCCCATGTCCTGCAATCATGAAACGGGAAGTCACAGGGGAACTTTATTCAGTGTGACACCAATGCTCAGATGCAGGCTTTCTGCCTCAGCCCACACTGTATGCTGGAATTGATGTTTCCTATTAGTATGTAGAACCTAACAGCCCATCCCTGAGAAACAGATTTTCTCTCTTCTCCCCTCCCCCTCTCTGTACTGGGGCTTGAACTCAGAGCCTTGAACTCTTGCTTGCCTTTTTTGCTCAAGGATGGCCCTCTACCATTTGGCTTTTTGCTGGTTACTTGGAGACAAAAGTCTCTTAGATTTGTCTTCCCAGGTCAGCTTTGAACCATGGTCCTCAGATCTCAGCCTCCTAAGTAGCTAGGATTACAGGTACGAGGCAGCAGCACCTAGCATGGGAAACCATTTCTGCAAGTGCAGAATCCAGAGCAGGGAACTCACCGCACCCCTGCGGTTAGGGTGCTGTTGGTGAGAGAAGGCCGATGGTATATGAGGGGTGAAGGAACAGGAAAAGATAGAATGGGACAACTGGGCATTGTAATGTGCTAAGCTCTGCTGGGGATCAGAGCCCCATGGTCTCAGTGTGTCTGTGAGTGATGCCCAACCAGAGCTAGAGTGTTGACAGAGAGGATGAGGGAATCTGAGAGGCACATGGGGCTGGGAGCAGGAGGGGAAGAAGATGTGGGTACTACTGAGAGAGCGCTACACAAGCACCAGCATTAAGATCCACCATGGCATGACAGAAAAGGCAATGTAAACAATTCCAGTGTTTCCAGGCCCTCAGCTCTAACAATCAAGAGGACACTTCTCAAAAGCATCATCTGCGTCATCTGCCAAAAATCTCTTTTTATTCCAATCCATCACCATCCTGATGACTTCTGTGCCATTCATGGAAATCTGCAAAGGACACTAGACTCTCAAAGGTCCAGAGAGAGCTGAGGCCTTAGACTTGTTGTCCTGTACCCTGACTTATGATGCCTTCTCCTCTGAACATCTTTAACAAGAGCTTGTGGAGAAGATTCTCCACGGGTTCAGGATGGCAGCCCTGGACAAAAGCAACGTAAGATTCCTGTGCCATTTCTGGATTTAAGCTCCTAGGTGGAGCATGAATGAATGCTCAGGTATTCATCCAAAGGCACGTGATAGAATGCAAGTTGCATCTGAACCTGTAGGTGCCTAGCTGTGTACATGCACTGTTTAAGGAGAGGGATACACAATAAGTGTCATTTAAATACATACTTCCATGACAGGTATACAGGCACACATTCTTGACACACTTCAGCATGTCCATGAACAAGTAAGCACTTACACAAATGTGTTTGTGGAGAAAGACCCTAAGTGATTGAAACTCTCTGAGCTTGGATACTTAGAAGTAAGACTTCTGTTTTACTAAAAGGGCCTCTTTATGCTCTAATCATTCAGAAATCTTATTTTTTTTCTGACTCACTGAAGAATATGGAGAGCTGTGTATCAGTAGCTCAAGAGGTCCTGAGGAGGCTGAGATCTGAGGATCGAGGTTCAAAGCCAGTCCAGACAGGAAAGTCCATGAGACTTGTATTTCCAATTAACTAGCACAAAGCTGGAAGTAGAAATTTGGTTCAAGTGATTTAGTACTAGTGACTAGGCCTTGAGTTCAAGCCCCAGTGCGTGCATGCACACACACACACACACACACACACACACACACACACACACACACACACCACACAAAGCATATACACAAAGAGAAACTCAATAGCTATATACTAAGGGCAAGCCCTTACCTGCCTTGTACCCCAGAGCAGAGTCCCAGCCCCAGGTCTCCCCAGATTCTGTGCTATCACGGCTGTGCAGCCACACATTTGGGTATTCCCATACCTGTCCCCACAGATGTAAGAAACACCATCATGGGTATTTTCTTGTCTGTATCAGGGATCGGCATAAGAAAGGCAGGCATACAAGACTACTGAGTGTTCCTGGACCCAGCATAAGTGGCATTGTGGTTGGAGTGTGCTCAGAATCCTAGTAGTCAACTATGCTTTACAAACCTAGTGAGCTGGTGGCATGGGCCACATTCACCTATGTGTCCAGCTTCTATAGCTTGTGATTTTCCTTCTGTGGCCTAGTATTATATTTCTCTCCACTTTCTAACCCAGACCCAAGTCCACCACAGACACAGACCCTGCCCATTATCATCCTAGACCTGGGGCAAGGTTTAACCTCAGCCCCAACCAAAGGGCTTGAGAGCCAGAACCAGTTTGGAGGCCAGTGTGGATGCCAGACTCAATTTTAGATAGAGGAACTCACCTTTCTTGTAGTGGGAGATGTCAGCCTGGAGGCGCTGTAGCTGCCCCTGTAAGGTCTCCACCTGCCCCCTCAGGGCGGTGATGTCTGCAGAGAAGGAAATAGTAATATAAGTAATGACTTACTCCTCTCAGCCTAGGGACCACCCATACCTCCAGGAAGGGAGTCTAGTTACAGGCACTTATTGGAGATGGTGATGCAGCACCTACATCTGCAGACACAAGTGGCCCCTGTTGCACAAAGGTTTCCAATGGTTTTCCTATGGATAAACTGGTCCCTGAGCAGGTCCTTGAACCTCTCTGACACTGACCCAGATGACCTTTGACCTCAACTCCAGGAAGATAATAGCACCTCCATTCCTGGGAGGAGGGGCAGGAATACATATTCCACCTATAATTCCCATCCATTGGGTTGTTAGACATTGAGAGGTTTCCTAGGCATTGGGAAGGCAGCTGTTATTTCCCCAGGGATCAGGTAAAGAAATTGCCAAGGTTTACCTTCCTATAGCTCTAGACCAAAGCCTAAATTTTGCCCTACCTCCAGCCTTTTCCCATTCCACCCACTACCTGTAAGTAATAGGACTGTTGGCCCAGAGAGGACCTCTTGAGAAAAAGAGGGTTTCTCCCTCTCTCCCACCCAGGCCAACAGGAGTTGTTGCCTTACCTTGAAGCCCACTTTCACCTTTGGCTCCTCTGTCTCCAGGAGCACCTCTGTCCCCCTTCACTCCTGGAGGACCCCTGGTACCTGGAGCTCCCTGTGGACCCACAGCTCCAGCAGGTCCTGGAATCCAAGAAGAGCTGGGTCATCTAGGTACCCAATGTCCAGCATCATGAGCTTCTTTGTTCCTGGACTATCCTGTGGTCAAGCAATACACCCTTCCCTCATACCTCATATGGATCGTTTTCAGAGCCCTGTGCTCTCTCTCAACATGACAGGCTCCTTCCACTGCCAGTCAACCTCTGCTGTGTACAACTGTCCCTGCCATCTATGACTAATCTTCCTCAGATTCCATCCATACCCATGGCTTAGCACTGCACTCTCCCCACATAGTCACAGTTCCAAGTGTTCTTGGATACTGACTCTCTCCATGGCCCAGCCTGGCCAGCTCTGTTTGCACAGATGGTTGTCATGGGGACTGGACACACCTTGGCAGCTTCTTGTGGGCATAGTAGAAATGGATCCAGCCCCAAGTCTATCACTGACCTGCTGGTCCAGCATTTCCAGGGACTCCACGTTCACCTCTCTCTCCTTTAGGTCCTGAGGGGCCTCTTGGCCCTGGAGAGCCCTGCATGCCTAGGGCACCTACTTCTCCTGAGAAAGAAACAAATTGGGGTTCATCGTGGACCTCGTTTTATATCCCTTCATGGACCACCACCATTATTCCTTGCATCTCCACCCCAGACCAGCCACATCCCATCCACCTACCTTTGGGTCCAGACTCTCCCTTTGGGCCTGGTTTTCCTTGAGGTCCTGTGTTCCCCTGCTTTCCAGAGGGACCATCTTTTCCAGCTGGACCGGGAGCACCTGGAAGTCCAGGAGGTCCTGGGGAATAAGACCAGCCCTATCAGTGTCACTAAGTCCCCCGGTAGTGGGATATATGAGTTGAGTAACAGTAGGTAAAAGAGGACGGGAACAACATATGACTGACCCACTGGAGGCCCCATCTGTCTGAAACAACCCAGTGCCTCCTGCAGAACAAACTTCCTTCTTCCTGGTCTTGGCACTGAGCATGCCCATGGCACATTCTAATCGTGAGGCACCCCTTGGGGACATCTGAATTACATGCCCATTTGCTCACCAGCTGGTCCAGAGTCTCCCTTTTGTCCTGGTTCTCCATCAGAGCCATTATCCCCTTTGGGTCCAATTCTCCCAGATGGTCCAGGCATTCCTGCTGGTCCCACAGGTCCTGGCAAACCTGTAGCCGCAAAAGAAATGAACATGACATTGGCCCTAGGCCAAGAAGAGGCCAAATATCTGTAGGGTCAAATTCCTGGCACTCTTTCAAGTTTCTGTAGAGCACAAACATCCCAGGGTCACACGCTCTAGTACAGGTGATTCAGGAAATGGGTTTCTTCACCCCCATTTCAAGGAAATAGCCTTTCTGGAATTGGAGATGGATTCAAGCCAAGTCTGCTTGAGTTTCTATTTTGTATTCCTTCCCTCCATGGCCACTGTACTGGCAGAAGGCAATCTATTGCTATTTAATAGTGCCCATGGATTTCTTGAGTTTTATGTGTGTGTATCAGGAAACCAACTATATTTTTATCCAAAATGGCATCAGATAGACATCAACTTGTTTATTCCATTTGTCTGTCCACTCTCTCATATATTTATTCATGAAGAATCTCAAAAGCACAGAAACCAAAATAAAACCCTGACCAATGGGCTTACATCAAGCTGAAAAACTTCTGCATAATAAAGGAAATCATCAACAGAGTGAAAAAAGAACCTATTGAATGGGGAGAAATATCTTCCAACTGTTTACCTGACAAGGGATCAATACTTAGAGTATATAAGAAATTCAAAACTTAGCCACAAAAACATACACATAAAAAAAAAAAAACAAGTGATCCAGCCAGGCTCGGGTGACTCACACCTGTAATCCTCATTACTCAGGAAGCTGAGATCTGAGGACTGCTGTTCAAAGTAAGCCCAGACAGGAAAGTCCATGAGACTCTTATCTCCAATTAACCAATAGTGGTGTCGTGGTTCAAGGGGTAGAGTGCTTATCTTGAGCTGAAGATCTCAGGGACAGTGCCCAGGCCCAGAGTTCAAGCCCCACAACCAACAAACAAAACATGAAACAAATAATCCAATTAAAAAACAGGCAAATTATCTGAACAGACACTTTTCAAAAGAAGAAATACAAATGGCCAGGAAGTATATTTAAAATGTTCACTATGTTCAGCCATAAGGAAACCATAATGAGAGGCCATCTAATCCTGGTTAGAATGACTGTTACCAACACATGCTGTTGAGGATGCCAGGGTATGCACCCCTTAAAGCCCTTAAATTTTAGTGCAGACACTATGGAAATTCATATAGAGAACCCTCATAAATCTGAAAATAGAACTGTATCAGTTATTCACTCCTGGGTAGACATCCAAAGGAAATTAAATCAGCATATACAAAAGCACCACTTGCATGTCCATATCAACATTATTCACAATAGCTAGGATGTAGAATCAGCCTAGCTGTCCATTTATGAATAAACACATTTTTAAAGTGCAGTAAATATATACAATGGAAGATTACTCAGTCAAAAAAGAATGAAATCTTGTCATTCATAACAGAATAGATGAAACTGGAGATCATCATGTTTGGTAAAATAAGCTTGATATAAAAGATAAATACTATACTTTCTCATATTCAAGTTTTAAAAATGTGGACTCAGCTGGGCATTGGAACTGAGATTCTGTGGATCACCATTTGAAGCCAGCCTAGGGTGGGGCAAAGGAGGTTAGACACACTGGTTTGTATGCACATGTGTAAAGATAGCACACAGAATCCTCTTAACACGTATAAATATGTTAATAACAAGTTCTACTCTATGCATATCTATTATATGACTTGCACTTGTCCTAGTCCTCAGACCTTGCTCTATGAGAGATTTGTAACAGACTGTGAGACAGGGGCCACATATGAGGAAGACAGTCCTGATGCCAATCTACACATCCTCAGAAAGGTCATTCTGAAGGAGAAAGTAGGACTTCAAGAGCAAGGACCATTTAGAGGACTCAATCCTCTCCAACTTTCTGTAGAGAGAAGAGAGAGGTATTTCAGACTTGGAAACTACTCTCCTGTGACAGGAAAAGTCACATCTTTCTGGCACAGGAGTATACTTGAGATGAAGGTAACTTAATTTGCTGGAAGATTTTGTGCTGGGTACCATGTTTTGCTGTTGGTTAAAGGACGGAGTCTTAGGGATGAAATGGAAGCATAGAGGGTAGGCAACAGACTGGCCCACATCCCACATCCAAACTTGGGCTGACAATCTCTGGGATCCATCATAGCCAGGCTGGCAAGGGGCATATTGGCCAGGGGAACAAAAACCACTCTCCAAAAAGGAGTGTTAGTATGGAGGCCCCAAATCAGAAGAGGATTCACTTCTCCAACAATAGCACTTATTTTGTTTTCCAATATTACAAACCCAGTTTTGTATCCCAGTGCTGCCTAGCACCATGGCCAGCACTGATTGTCCTAAATTTCTCCACTCCTTCCAGTTTGCTGCATTCATTCACTTATTTCATAAATATTTCCTTGTACACTTAAACACATAGCCTCCTAGATCACAAAAGAGCTACAAAAAACTGACAGAGTAACTGTAATCCTAGCTACTCAGGAGACTGAGATCTGAGATCACAGTTCAAAGCCAGCTTGGGCAGGAAAGTCCATGAAACCCTTATCTCCAATCAACTACCAGAAAACCAGAAGTGGAGCTATAGCTCAAAGTGATAGTGTGCTAGCCTTGAGCAGAAAAACTCAGACACAGGTCCCAGGCCCTAACTTCAATCCCCATGATGGACAAAAAACAAAAACAAAAACAAAAATCCTGCAGCACATTGGAGGCTTTGGTGTATGTTACTTATGGCCGCTTGGGAACTCTTTGCTGTGACTAAAGCTCTAAAAAAGATGAAGACGACACAGGCACATGTATATGAAGATCAAGTGACAGGGCCCCAGGAAAGTGAAACCAAATGTTAAGGACCAGCAAGAAGCCAGAGTGATTTCCACTAAGCAGATACAGAGGACCAGAGAAGCAAGCAGGGGTGGAGAGCAGTCACAATGGGGTTGCTGAGAGGTGTGTAATTTCAGGCCAAGGGAGATCAATATCCCCAGAAGGATTCTGGGTGCATCTCTCTGAGCAGGAAAGCTGGAGGTGCCTGCATCCTCACCACAATGACTCCCAGCTCCACCAGCTACTTCTGCTTCTCTGAGGTCCCAACTCCACTTTCCAGCATGACCACAAGTAAAGGCTTGCACCATATGCAGAGCTGCTTGGATCTGAGGATTCTGAGGATGTTTCAAGTCTCTCAGGACATACTCAATCTGTAATAGTCAAGTAACTGAAAGGACTGGGATTGAGAGGCCAGAGTGGAGCCATATTTCCAATCCAGCTATATGTTGGTCTCCGCCAAACCAACTCAAAGCCAGGCTGGGGTGTAAGAAAGCAAGGCAAGCTCTCCTGTAGAAAAAGCCTCCAGGACTCAATCCACAACCCACTTCAAGGAGCCAAAAGAACTGGGGTCACCGAGATAATGGCTATATCATGTCCTTCCTCCCTAGACAGCCTTCTTTCCATGAGTAAAACCAGTCCATTCTCCTTGAGAGTCACTGTCTCTGTAAGGGACAGAGGTTCACTTGTGCCTTGTCTCATCAAGCTTTAGGATTGTTTCTTAATTCTGTTTTAAGCTCTCCCTCCTGTAAAACAAAATGCATACTCCAGAAAGATAAACTGAGTTTTCTCAGTCATCAAAGCATGGGCCCAAGGCCATCTTGTCCCTTGTCTCCTGCTGCTATTTCATTAATTTTTTTCCTTTTCTTACCAATAAGACTAAGATCCTTGCCTGCACTGCTGACTCACACTTGTAATCCTAGCTACTCGGGAGTCTGAGATGTGGGAATCAAGGTTCAAAGCCAGTGTGGGCAGAAAAGTCCATGACACTACTATCTCCAAATAACCAACAAAAATCCAGAAGTAGAGATGTGGCTCAAGTGGTACAGCACCAGCCTTGAATGTAAATGCCAAGTAAGAGTGCAAGGCCTTGAGTTCAAGTCCAAGTACTCATTTTTGAAAAAAAAAAAAAAAAGAACCAGGCACTAGTGGCTTATGCCTGTAATCCTAGCTATCCAGGTGGCTGAGATCTGAGGATCACAATCCAAAGCCAGCCCAGGCAGGAAAATCTAAGACTCTTTTCTCCAATAAACTACCATTAAGCCAAAAACGGAGTTGTGGCTCAAGAAGTAGAATGCTAGCCTTGAGTGAAAAAACTCAGGTACAGTGCTCAGATCCTGAGTTTAAGCCCCAAAACTAGCACGTGTGCCAAACACACACACACACACACACACAAACACACACACACACACACACACACACATACACACACACACACACATGACCCTGATCTTCCTCTAGGACTTGAGCAGTTTTCTTAAGAACAATTTTCTTATCTATTAGTACTCTGGTAACCTCGGGAGAATTCATTGAATTGTCATCAGAAAGATGCAACTCTATTCATGAAGATTAAAAACAATTAGAGCTAGGATGTAGCTCAGGGGCAAAACACTTACCTGGGTTTGATCCCCAGTACCAAAGAAAATTTTTAAAGAAATGAAAGCCATTGTAAATTATTTGTCATGAGATGGTAAAATATGATTCCTGTTTGCAGATAAGAAAACTGAGATGCCATGATACCAAGGGCCTTGCCACAGGGTTCCCAGCCATGAAGATGGAGCTAGAAGTCAAGCCTAGATCTACAATAGCCTGCATGTCCTTTCATGGAATGTATTTACCCTCTCTTACCTGAAGAAGATGGATGTGTTCCTTGTAAAGCTTTTGGCAGAGAATTATGTGAACTATTCAAGTGAATACCCTAGCATAGAGATGTACAAAGAAGCATGAGCTCTGCTTTCCTCTTATAACACGTAAGGCAAATCCATTTAACTAGATCTGTGTAGGAGACCTCAGAGCCTTATCTTTTGCTATGTAGAGTTTAATTAAATACTAAAAATCATTAACACAAAGGGTGAGCAAATGCAGCAATGGTACTCACTAGACATTATATTGAAAATTATACAACTTGTGGGTGGGACAGGAGGAAAAAAAACTGAGAGACAGCGAGCAAAAGAAAGGGTGATATTGTATAAAAAGAAATGTACCTATTATCCGACTTATATAACTGTAACCCCTCTACCTAACACCTCTAAAATAACAATGAAAAAGTGACAATGAATTTTTTTTTCTTGTCGGTGGTGGGGCTTGAACTCTAGGCCTGGATGCTGTCCCTCAGCTCTTCAGCTCAAGGCGAGCACTCTACCACTTGAGCCACAGTGCCACTACCAGTTTTCTGAGTGGTTTATTGAAGATAAGAATCTCACAGACTTTCCTGGCCCGGCTCACTTTGAACAGTGATCCTCAGATGTCAGCCTCCTGAGTGCCTGACTGAAAAAAAAAATCTTGAACAGTTGAGTTGGGAGAGATAGGGGAGGATGATGAAAGGGGTGACATTGATCGCGATGTATTGTACTTATCAACTGATTTGTTGAATGATAATTCCTACCTAAAGATACAAATATAACGTAAAAAACCTTTAACACAGTGCATAGGCACCACTGAATCAAAATGAAGAAAAGCCAAGTGCTAGAACAGGGTTCTAGCGTTGGGCTCCCAAGTCTCTCGTCACAGCATGGGAAGTTGCTGGCTGGCTGGCATTCCGCTTCTCTCCCCGCTGCTTCCCTCAGCAGAATTAATCCCTGGTCCCAGCTCTACCTGGATCTCCCTTCTCGCCCCGGGGGCCCTCTCTCCCATCTCGTCCATCTCGACCGGGTAGGCCATTCTCTGCCGGGCCGCACATGACCAGAGTGCAGGCGTTGTTTACTGATCTTCGTGCCAACGTCTTCATTTCTGCTCCCAGGTACCCCACGGGCTGTGAGAACAGGACTAGCATGGAAAGGAAGAGCAGCATGGCCTGAGGGGTAGGGGGGGGGAGAGGGCAGGGTTTGGAGAGAAAAGACCAGACGTTGGCTCCAGGACATGGGTGAAGGCTCCGCCCAGTTTCTGGAGGTTAGGAACAATCTACCTTTCCACATCCTCTGCCCTGGTTTGGGACCCAGAGAAACAAGATTCCAGAAAGCAAATGAGAGAAAGTTGAGTCAGGCATGAGGCCTGGCTGTGGAGGGCCTGAGTCACGTGATGAGATCTCTGGCATGGCTGACAGCCTGGTCTCTCTATTCTCAGGTGCCCTTGGAAAACAGTGGCTGCAGTGTAGTCCTCTCCTGAGGCTCCTTTTCCTTCTTGGACTTCCTTCTCCCTATCTGTGGCACTGAGGCTGCCCGCTCAGCTCTGACAAGGCAAATCTACCTTCTCTCTCTGGCTGCTTGGAGTGGATTATACTAGCAGCCTAGATGCTGGTGTGAAACCCAGCCTGAGCAAGAGACTTTGGGAAGAATGGCCTGAGCTCCCACTGGAGTGTGATTACATGGATGCTAGGTACTTGGTCATCAAGAAAGTCCTAGAGAGAAGCCTGGTGAAGAGTTAAGGCACTAAAGTAGCAGCTAGAGATCCCCAGAAACACCTAGATGTCTGCCATCTTGGAGTGCTTGGAGGAGGGCCCCTGAGAAGGAAGAGGCCATGCCGGGTGGATTCAGACAGATGGAAGATTGCTTTGGGAAGGACACAAAAGGAAACTCTAAAATAGTCACCATCACAGAGGGACTTAAGAACGGATATTAGAGCTGGAGGCACCGGGCCTGTGCCAGTCTCTACGCACTGCACCTAAGTTAGCTTTCAGTCATTATGGTAAATACTGGAAGTCCTTAGGTTAAGGTTCCTTTATGGTTACAACCTCCATAACATCCAATATCACCTGCAACCATCACTCTAGGCTTATGGTAACATAGTATATATAATGATAGACACACAAGCCATAGGAGGCCTCATGAAAGCCAGGAGGGACAGACAGACAGACAGACACAGAGACAGACAGACATGGAAAAGAAGGAGCAGGAGGAAGAAGAAAAGGAGGAGGAGGAAGAAGAGAAAAAAGGAGAAGAAAAACAAAGAAGAAAGAGGAGAAGGAGGAGGAGAAAGAAAAAAGAACAACTTGGAGGGGGAGCCAACATCTCAAATCCCAAGATCCATCTCAAAAACACAGCCCCAAAGACTTCATATCTTTCCATGAGATGCTGTGTCCGTTAGGTGCTACCACCAATAGTACCACAGGTTGGGGACCGAGCCTTCAATGCATGGGCCACTGGGAAGATTTAAGATCCCGACCAGAGCAGCGTCTTTCCTTTCAGGGAAAGAAAACTGTGAAGTAACATGCATGGAAGGAGCCAGTGGAAGTCAGAGGCTAGACCCAAGCCAGAGGGACCCACACAAAGATGAAGAAGTTCACTAACTATCCAGAGTGGTGGCAGCACAGAGAAGAGCTGAGATTCTAGACTGTGGGTGACTCTTACTTTCCACCAGCTTCTCTCCATTTTGAAGTCACACCTTCCTTGGATTTTCTCACTAGCCAATAGCAGCAGCCACTCTGTTTCCATGGTTCTAGTAAAGACTCCATCATAGGCACTGAGGGCCAGACCCAAGCCAGAGTAAGGGTGCTATCTCTTGGCCTATAGCCACTTACACAAGTCTGGGATCATGCACCTCACACTGGGGAATAATAAAGGCAATGGAATTCTGCATGGAGAGCATCGTCCATTTACCAGAGTGTGAAGAAGCCCTGCAGACAGACAGCAGAGCAGGTTTCCAGATTCCAAAGTCAGAAGAAGCAGCTTAGCCAGAGCTGTGGATGAAATGTGCGGAGCCACAGCCCCTGACGTCAGATGGTGTTCAGTTGATGCTATGCTAGCAAAGTTAGAGTTTATTGAAAAAGATGGTGCTTCTGTACATTAGAAAATCAGACACCTAGCAAGGAGCCAGTATCTCTCCCCTGGAGGCTTAGGTCTGGGAATCATGACTTAAAGCCTTAATTCCAGAGACTTTTATCCAAAGCTAACGAGCAAAAAGCCAGGACTAGAGGCATGGCTCCTATGGTAGAGCACCAACCATGAGTAAAAAAGCCAAACAAGAGCACAAGGACCTGAGTTCAAGCCCCCACCCCATCACAAATACGAGATACCTAATGCAGTAAAAGTAATTTAAGTAAAGAGTTGGGAGTATGAGAAAATCAAGTGTGTCTATCTTTCCAGAAAAAATGAAGGCAGGATGGGATTAGAACATAGGTCTGAGAAGGCCTGGTCTGTTTCCCCTACACTATCCTTTCTGAAGACATCAAGGACAAAGAAGGAGCCATGACAGAAGGTGGAATTGCATTTTATCGCTGAGGCATCCCCAATGGCACCTGCATCACAATCATTCACTGTACTCCCGTTCAGAAAGCCAGTAAGTACAGGTGCTGGTGGCTCACACCTGGAACCTTTCGCAGGAGACGGAGGTTTGAGAATCATGGTTCGAAACCAGTCCTGGCAGGAAAGTCTGTGAGACTAATCTCCAATTAGCTAGCAAAAAGATGCATGTGGAGCTGTGGCTCAAGTGATAGAACATTAGCTTTGAGGGGAAAAAAAACAAACAAACCAAAAAACCCTAAAGGATAATGCCCAGGCCCTGATTTCAAGCCCCAGTCCCAGCACACAAAGAGAGAGAGAGAGAGAAAGACACAGAGAGAGAGAGAGACAGAGAGAGACAGAGACAGAGAAACAGAGACAGAGAGAGACAGAGACAGAGAGAGACAGAGAGAGAGAAAGGAAAGAAGGAAGGAAAAGGAAGGACAGAAGGAGGGAGGGAGGGATGTAAGGAGGGAGGGAGTGAGGGAAGTAAGGAGGGAGGGAGGGAAGAGAGAGAAACAAAGAAGGGAGAGAAATCTCCTGCTGAGCCAGGGAAGCTGACCATGGGCAGCTTAGCACCTTCTATGCCTCCACTAGGCCCCCGCCTCCCACACCACAACTCCTGGACTAGAACTTAAATCCAGACCCCAGAACCCTCCTCCCTCAAAACCAATCATAGAATAGTCACAGGACATGGGGGAAATAAAATGAGAGGCAGGTACATACACACACACAGGTTGCTTCCTGTAGGACCCAGGAGCTCCAGATAAATGAGCCCGGGCTTGGCAACCACCCACTATTTATGCTCACTCTGTCACCAGGGCCGCCCAGCCTTGGTCTTCTGAAAACTCCCCCATTCAAGAGGTAAAAGAGAAAAAAAAAAAAAAAGAAGTGGACCAATTTTCTGGTTGACTCACTCACTCTTACCCGACCTGCCCTCTGGAAAGCTGCCACTGACAGGCATTAAGCGATGCATAGCTGTCACCTCAGAGTTTACAGAGCTCTTTTCAGTCTGAAATCCAATCTATATCATCCCCCCAAAGACCTGAGTGGGAACTGACATCTCCCAGGTCTATATTCTGTAGATGTCCAGAAATCTGAGCTCCAGAGACCAGCATGTTGCATAATGATCTACAATGATTGCCAACAAAAAGCCCCCACAATTCACAGCTGCATTGCTCAAGAGCCAGGCCCTACTGTGTCCACTTCCCCCTTCATCTCAAAAGCCCTGCCCAGATATTGGGAAAGAGCCAGGAACTGCTTGGTATGCCCAGGAAAGGCTAGGGCAGGTTGAGGGGCCACAGAGGTGGCAAGTTCTGGGGGCAGGGCTATAGCCTGAGGAACTGTCACCCAGGTGTCATTCTTCCACCTCCTTTGTTAGGACTCCTTGAGCCTAACTTACCTTTCATGGGGTAGACCTCCCTTAGCAGGTGTCTGCTTTGCCTTGTTCAGACATGTTTTCTCCAACATCCCAGCTGGTGGTTGCCTTCGGCATTGTGCTAGTAACTAGTTAGTACCCACAAGTGCTTGAGACTCTGTTAAAGACACCCTTCAGGTATCTTAACTCCCTGCACACCTAAGGGACAGTTGTCCGTCCTTGCTTACCTTTAGAATCCTGTGACTTCTTTCATCAACTTTACATAAACTCATGTACCAGCAGACTTATGTCTCCATTCATTCCCTTTGGCCTCCCCACTGGTGGTGCCAACCTGCTTTGGGTTTTGATACTCCTGGTGGTATCTCCTTTCATAGTATGGAGCCTACAATGTCAAATCTTCCCATCTGGTTGAGAATAGTTCATTTTGCTTATTGCAATATATTTTTTAAACCCAGATCTCACAATATAGCTATTCATGCCTCTGATAATAGCTGTGTTTTATTATTGACATCCAACTGTCTTTATTCTAGAATATTCATATGCTTCCTAGAGGTCTAGGTCAGCATTGTCTTCTCTCCTGAAAAGACCAGTCACATCTTACCCTGATGACTGTTTTAAACTTTATAAGACTACTTAAAGAATAATATTTTTTAACCCAGGAGCTTATAAGTTTTAAATCACATGATAATATTAATTACATCTGTAATCCTAGGTACTCAGCAGGAAGAGATCTTAGGACCACAATTCAAAGCCAGCCAAGGCAGCAAAGTTCGTGAGACTCTTATCTCCAATTAACCACAAAAGCCAAGAGTGGAGCTGTTGCTCAAAGTGGTAGAGCACCAACTTTGAGCACAAAAGCTCAGGGACAGTGCCCAGACCTTGAGTTCAAGCCCCAGGATTAGCAAATAAAAAACAAAACAAAACAAAAACAAAAACTCAAAAAACAAAAAAGAACATGTTGTTTAGATGTGGGATCAATAATTTTGGAACTGAGATTTATCTTGAAAGAAAAACACCTTTAGCTGCAAACATCATGCCTGACCTTCTAACCTGTACCCAGACAAAGAAATGAAATGTTCCTGGTCAAATAATAATCTATATAAATATAACCTTGAGCCCTATTTCACAGATCTAGTATAAGGCCATAGACCAAGAAAAGTCTATGCAGTATGACTGAGATGCTCACACTCCCTTTGAGTGTATAACTTCACCCTGTAATAAAATTCCAATTTTTTAATCTGTCTCCTCTCTAAATTCTTTCTCTGATGGTGATAAGAACCTAGAGAGATTAGGTAGAGGTCTCTCTATCTGTTGTCTCTATCTCTGAGATTCCCAAAAAGCCAGGCACCAATGGCTCATGCCTGTAAGACCTAGCTACTCAGGAGACTGAGATCTGAGTATCTCAGTTCAAAGCCAGCCCAGGGCAGGAAAGTCCATGAGACTAATCACCAATAAACTACTCAGAAAAAGCCAGAAATAGCACTATAGCTCAACAGGTAGAGCGCTAGCCTGAAGCAAAAAAAAATCATCTCAGGGATAGTCTGGTGCTAGTGGCTCATATATATAATCCTAGCTACTCAGGAGGCTGAGATCTGAGGATCATGGTTCAAAGGCAGCCAGAGTAAGAAAGTCTGTGAGATTATTATCTCCACTAAACCACCAAAAAAGTCAAAAGTGGAGCTGTGGCTCATAAAGTGCTAGCCTTGAGCAAAAGAAGCTCAGGGACAACACCCAGGCCTGAGTTCAAGCCCTAGGACAAACACAAATTTAAAAACTAAATAAAATAAAAAGCTCAGGAACAGTGTCCATGCCATGAGTTCGAGCCCCAGGACTGGAACAAAAAGAAAACTTTGCAGTGTGATGAACAGAAAACCATAAGATCACCCCATATTGAAGACTTCCTCAAATTTATGGCTCTAGACTCAACTTTTTGTTCGCCTCTCTCCAAAGACACTAGTTCTCTGAAACACAGACCTGTTCTCTGAATTTGCCCACCCTACAGAAATCTGAGCAGTGCCCAAGATGATGTTACCTGAAGCCACACTTGACCTACAGCCAGCAGGATGCTCTTAAGAAAAGCAGCCTAGAAAGGTAGAACCACACCACAGGTGTAGCGCCCCATGCTGATGCAGACCCCTTCCCAAGCCACAGAGAGAGGGGCTGGGTTGAAAAGAAGCCTAGTTTTGCAAACTTGTTCCAGCTCTGCTGAGCCAGAGTTACCCAGGCTCTAGGCTAGATCCCAGAAAGGGGATTCAGAGAGTTTGATTCACTGTATTACTCCCAGATTATAGCTATAGACCCTGTTATGTAAGGACAGCAAGGACATGGGTTCATCTCCAGTCTCCAAGAAAGTGTAAGAGGGATTCCACACTCCAACCTCTTTTGTCTTTATGATTGGCACTCACACCCTGACTTCATTGTATTCCAACTCTTCCTTTCTTCCAGAACCTTCTCATTGATTCAATTCATCGTTGTAGGGAAAAAACAAAAACAAAAAACAACCAATGTTCTGACTTCCTCCATGGATTTAGCTTCATGCCCTCCCTGGAGGGGGAGCTCTTGGATTCCTTTTCATTCAACCCTACACTCTTGAGGTTTTACCCTTGCCCGGAGGTTCCCTCCAGGGACCCCACTTCTCCACTACGTAGCATTTTAAAAGTTGATCAGGGCTGGCCAGGCAGCCAGTGGCTCACACTTGTAATCCTAGCAACTCAAGAGGCTGAGGTCTGAGGATCCCAGTTCAGTGCCAGTCTGGGCAGGAAAGTCCTTGAGTCTTATCTCCAATTAACCACTGAAAAGCCAGAAGTAGAGCTGTGGCTCAAGTGGTAACCTTGAACATCAAAGCTCAGGACAGTGCCCAGGCCTTGAGTTCAAGCCTCAGGACTGGTATACACACACACACACACACACACACACACACACACGCGCACACACACACGCACGCACGCACACGCATGCAGGCTAAAAATCTGATGACTGCAAAAATAGTTTGATTAATCTATGTGAGGGTCCCCAGATTCAAAGGAAGAGACAAATGTTTCTTCTAGCTCTCTCTGGCTGACTCTAGGTGACTGGGTTTTCATAGAGGTGTCAGCCGAGGACTGGTCCTGGGTCTGATCCCTTCTGACGGGTCAGAAGACTGCACCCCATTCCTGGGGTAGAAGGTGGTTCTGCTGATACATGCACATCAGGGCATGGTCACCCACACCCTGAGTTACACCTCATCTCTGGTGTTGAGGCTTTCTGAGACTTGTAAATGGGGAAAGCTGATATACTGGTGAATCTGTAGGAAGAAATCTCACAGCACATCTTATTGACCCCAAACACTACTAACATTGACTCTAGCTCCAATATGACTCATAAAGACGTCATTGGTCATCTGGAGCCACTTTGTTTTTTGAACTTGGGGCCTGGGCACTATCCCTGAGTTTTTTTTGTTGTTGTTTTTGTTTTGGTCCAGTCGTGGGGCCTGAACTCTGGATCTGGGCGCTGTCCCTCAGCTCTTCAGCTCAAGGCTAGCGCTCTACCACTTGAGCCACAGCGCCACTCCTGGCTTTTTTCTTTTTGTTTATGGGGTGCTGAGGAATTGAACCCTCATGCATGCAAGGCAGGCGCTCTACCACTGAGCCACCTTCCCAGCCCCATCCCTGAGCTTTTGTGCTTAAAGCTAGCACTGTACCACTTGAGCCACAGTTCCATGTATGGCTCTTCTGATGGTTAATTGGGGATAAGAGTCTCACAGGCTTTCTTGCCCAGACTGGCTTGGAACCATGATCCTCAGATACCAGCCTCCTGAGTAGCTAGGATTACAGGCATAAGCTGCCAGTGCCTGGCTGTCCCTGAGCTTTTATGCTCCATTTATATTCTTGTTTTGTGTGTGAACATTTCTTAGACTACAGTATAGAGGTGTTTACCCCTCAATCTAACTACATGGGTTGTCTTTCTGCCCTTCCTTTTTCTTCATTTCTGCTGTATCATCTAATTGTTCAAGTTTGCTATATCACCCATCTGTAAGGCAGACATTCAAGAGGTCATTCTCAATCTGGTTTGTGGCTAAAGGAGGAAGAGGGTGAACAAGAGAATTTTAATATGCAGACAGCAATGAGGCTTACACAAGACTTACAACAAAATATATAGTTTACAGTTTGGCCATGTTTACAACTGGATTTAATATGACTCATTCATAAATAGTATCTGGATTTAGAGCTCCTGTATAAAAATCAGTGAATTTGTTTTGCTCTATTACTTTATCTTCGGACTGAAGTTTCAACTTAAAGATTAAATAATCTTGGTTTGTGTGTGTCTGTCTGTGTGTGTGTTAGTGAACACACACCTTTAGATATATGTTACATGGTATGTTTTACATAGAAA